CTGCTACGAGAAATAATACCCCGATATGGACTACCCTGCTCTATAGGATTGGACAATGGTCCAGCTTTTGTTCATCAGTGCCTACAACAATTGACTCATATGCTTGGTATAAAGTGGAGGCTTCATACGGCATATAGACCCCAGAGTTCTGGTAAGGTAGAGAGAATGAATAGAACTATTAAGAATCAGTTGGCTAAAATGTGTCAGGAAACCCAACTTAAGTGGAACGTTCTTTTGCCCATAGCTCTATTGCGAATCCGTAGTACACCTACCAGAAGGATGGGCCTCTCTCCTTTTGAAATCATGTACGGGCGACCACCTCCTGTGCTTGGTAACCTAAGGGGGGATTTGAGTCAGTTGGGAGAAGGAAATACCCGGCAGCAGGTTGTAGAGTTGGGTAAGACTATGGAGGAGGTACAGAAATGGGTACAAGATAGATTACCTGTGAATATTTATCCCCCAATTCATAGTTACCACCCAGGCGACCAAGTGTGGATTAAAGAGTGGAATAATGTGCCGTTAGGGCCCAAGTGGAGAGGTCCTTATGTTGTTCTTTTGTCTACCCCTACAGCGATAAAAGTAGCCGAAGTGACTCCGTGGATACATCACTCCAGGGTTAAACCAGCAGCAGCCGATTCCTGGCAAGTTACAGCAAATCCAGAGAATCCCTGCAAGATCCGGTTAAAACGCACGACTCAGTCGGAGTGACGAGGAACCTTGTAGATTACAAATTTTGTTTCAGAGACTTGGTAAGTGAGTGAGAAGGCCATAATAAAGCCTGTCCACTCACCAACGAGTGTATAAGTCAGGGAAAGTCTTGAGGGGACCCCTGTGAAGACGAGCAGAACTCCATTCCCTGCAGTCCTTACATCCTGGAAGCTGAGGTGCCTTCACACGGACGAAGACGAAGACTGAGGATGACGACGAAAGATTTATTTTAATAATGTTTATTTATGTGTATTTTTATATTCAGGAAGGTAGAGGTACCAACACTCCTAGCTGTGAGGTATGCATTAAGACTACAAGAACAGGTAACCATGTATCCCAGACCCTAATTTGGCATTCGCAATATGAGTGTAAAGGAGATGTATCAAGATGTAGATACTTAAATATAGAATATAGTGTGTGTCATTTAGGAGTAGGAGAACCTAGGTGCTTCAGTCCTGAGTATCAACTCCGTACAATTTGGTTGACTCTCAGAAATGGAGATCCTCAGGGGACCCTAATTAATAAGACGGTATTAAAATCCGTATATTCTTCAGGTGCTCTGCTATTTGATGCGTGTAAAGCAATATCAAGTGGTAGAAAGCCGTGGAATGTATGTGGGGATCTTGGATGGGAGAGGACGTATGGGTCTAACAATAAATATATTTGTCCCAGTAGTAAAAATAAATATGTAAGTCCAAGATGCCCAAATAGAGATTATAACTTCTGCCCATATTGGTCTTGTGTGGGGTGGGCGACTTGGGGACAGACAGCAGACAAGGACATGGTTGTGACTAAGTTGCCTACTAATCCATATTGTAAGTCTATGGAATGCAATCCAATCCATATACTTATAAATAACCCTGACAAGTTCTTAGATAAATATGGTAATTTATTTGGGTTTCAAGTATATGGGACGGGTTTAGACCCTGGGACAATATTGTTTATAGGGATAGAGACTGATACGGTAACCTCCCAAACTCATCAAGTATACCATTCCTTTTATGAAGAGATGAGCATAGATAATAAGATCCCCCATAATGCTAAAAACTTGTTCATTGATTTAGCCGAGAGTATTGCCGGTAGTCTTAATGTTACCAACTGCTATGTGTGTGGAGGTACTAACATGGGAGACCAATGGCCTTGGGAAGCAAAGGAGGTAATGTCCGGTTCTGAGGCAGTTGACCAATTAATATCTACACAAGCCGACTATCATATGAGTGTTAGAGGTAAATCTGAGTGGAGATTGAAGACCTCCATCATAGGTTATGTTTGCATAGCGAGGAAAGGAATGATGTATAATACTTCTGTAGGAGAATTAACTTGTCTAGGGCAAAAAGCTTATGATGATGATACAAAGAATACAACTTGGTGGTCGGCTTCAAATGTCTCAGAACCATCTAACCCGTTTGCAAGATATGCCAATTTAAAGGACGTATGGTTTGATCTATCCATCACATCTAACTGGAGAGCCCCAGCGAATTTGTACTGGATCTGTGGTAAGAAGGCCTATTCGGAGTTACCACAGGACTGGGAAGGGGCATGTGTGTTGGGTATGTTGAAACCATCCTTCTTCTTGTTGCCTATTGAAACAGGTGAGACTTTAGGTGTTAAAGTGTATGATGTGAATCATAGGAAGAAAAGGGGACCCATAGAGATAGGTGCCTGGGAAGATAATGAATGGCCTCCCCAGCGTATTATAGATTATTATGGGCCAGCCACGTGGGCAGAGGATGGTACCTTTGGTTATAGAACCCCTATTTATATGCTCAACCGCATTATAAGGTTACAGGCGGTGGTTGAGATCATTACTAACGAGACATCACAAGCGCTCAATCTTCTAGCGAAGCATAATACCAGGATGAGGACAGCAGTTTACCAAAATAGATTAGCCTTGGATTATCTTTTGGCAGTAGAGGGAGGTGTATGTGGGAAGTTTAACCTGAGCAATTGCTGTCTTCAAATAGATGACGAAGGGCAAGCAATAGCTGAGCTTACTAGCCATATGGTTAAACTAGCGCATGTGCCTACTCAGGTATGGAAAGGGTACAATCCAAGTAGTTGGTTTGGTAGCTGGTATGAGTGGTTTGGAGGGCTTAAGGCAGTGGTAGGTGGAGTCCTACTGATTTTAATGTTGTGTCTACTCCTGCCGTGTCTTATACCCTTAGTAGTTAGGTCTGTGCAAAGCCTGATAGAAAATATAGCAGAGAGGAAGGCTGCTGCACAGATAATGGCAATTTATAAATATAAGGCTCTAGATCAGGGAGAACCAATGCAGGAAGACGAGTGTTGAAGATTCACATCATAGGATAAGTCTGGTCTGGTTCAAAGGTAACTTGTGGTGTATGCAAACCAAGGTTAAGTGATGCCTCAAGTAATTGTAAAATATCAAGAGGCATCAAAGGGGGGAATGTGGTGGAATCTCGGTAAAAATAAATTTAGTAGGCCGAGATTACCACGTGGCATGTGTACGTGCATATGCTGACGTATCGATCAGTTGGTTGCACGAGGCAAGATACGATCAGTAGTGTACGGAGCATGTGCAAGAATACAGGATGTAGTATTCCCCTCCTCCATTGTGCTGGACAAGCCATGCGGTCAAGCAGGAAGTTAATTCTTATTTGTAATGATTGGTCAAGAGAATGTGCGGGTGGAGCTTAATATGGGAGGAGTTATGTGCCTATATAGGGAGCCTGCACTATTGTTCGGGGCTCAGAACTTGCTGTATTTTTGGTGACATTAGTCCCTCTGAGTCCCGATCGGTGATCCAATAAAGAATCTCTTCCTATATCGATGACGTGATCATCATTTGGAAGGGGTCCTCCAATAGTTTTTCTGATTATGTTCAATATTTAAATTCCAACTTATACAATCTTGTCTTTACCCCCGAGTGGAATAAACATGAGATCCATTTTTTGGATCTTGATATTTTTTGTGATCAGGGTCAAATTCAAACTAAATGTTTTTTTAAACCAACAGATGGGAATGGCTTTGTACACCAACAAAGCTGTCACCATAAGCCTTGGCTTAGGGGCATAGCACGGAGCCAATTTACCAGATTGAGACACAATTGTTCTCGCCCTCAAGACTTCCAGATTCAATCTTCCCATATAAAAAATAAATTATGTGCAAGGGGCTACAATAAGAATACGTTAGAAAAAGAAATTCGATCAATTGGTCTCCTTGAACGGAACAAACTCCTGGAGGATAAACCTCCTAATACTGTTAGGAATAAGAATTTTAAATCAGCCTTTGTCACCCAATATAATACGGATCATTTTAAGATCAAAAGGAGCCTAAGTGATTTTTGGCCCATATTACAACAGGATCCCATTTTGGGTAATTCTTTGTCTGAACGCCCGATGGTGATATTTAAGAAAAATAAGAACTTTAAAAATATGCTAGCCCCTAGCTATGCTATTAAAATGAATAGTTCTAATGTATCCCCTGAATCGGGTTGTTTTAGGGGATGTAATGTGTGCAAAGCAAGTACCACCGCCTCTATGGGGAGAACTAAGGAATTTATTAGCCTTATCACGGGGGAGACTTTCAAGATTAAATCATTAATAGGTTGCCACACGGACTATGTAGTATACTTACTGCAGTGTCCGTGTGGCAAACAGTATGTGGGACGCACGAAACGTATCCTGAAGGTCAGGATCTTGGAACACCTAAATAATATACGTAAAGGACTGGTTACTCATTCAGTCTCTGCCCATTGCAGTAATTGTCCTTCCTTCTCCTTTAGAGATTTCAAGTGTATGGGTATCGAACATGTCCTTCCCTACTGGCGGGGAGGTGATAGGATTAAAAAGTTATCCCAAAGGGAAACCTTTTGGATACACAAACTAAAGACCCTTGAACCTAGGGGCCTGAATATTGGGATCGATCTGGTGTGTTTCTTGGACTGATTTTTTTGGTTATTCTTCTCCTTTATGTAAATTATTCCATAAGTATCTTTGGGAATATGAGGAGCTCTGGCAGTCTAAATATAGGGAAAAAGAAGTGTCTTTAATCAATACAATTCATAATTTATATAATAAAATATAATAAAAAAAAAAAAAAAAATCTTTATATTATATAGTTAGGTGTACCTTGCAGGTTATATGGTTTAAAATGATTATTATTGATATTGAGGGAACTTTGTTTAGGAATATATTATTTGTGTTCTTATTTTTTGAATAATGAGATGTTTGTCACTTTAAATAGATATACATGGCACTATTTAATGGTGTATGATATTGTCATATATATAATATGTGGGGAAGTTCCATATCAACTATCTTAACATGGTTGCTGTATATTACATGCACTAATTCACTTTTCTTCTTTTCAAGATTAATTACATTTAATGCATTTAACACTTTTGGGCTTTGTCCTTTTGATGATCACTTATATTGATGGCTCCTCGCTGTTCTAGTTGAAAAAGAGCAGTAAATGTATTTGGAACGCACTTGGAGCGTGTTTGGAACGCATATGGAACGCAAATGGAACGCGGAAGTGAAGGCAGACATCCACTTCCGGTTTCGGCTTTTACATTGAACGCGCCCTTTTTAAACTACCCAAACACTATCAGCTGGAGGACAATACCCCTGGATAGATGATTGGCTGGCTACTGGATACTCCTACACTATGGACCAATGGGACTTTGGGACTAGCCCTATATATAGAGATTCTGTTAAGGGGAAAGTAGGATGTGATTTTACAATCTATGATATTGTCTGTGATTTTTTTACTGTGCGGTCCCTGATGAAGTTCTAGTCTTGAACGAAACGCGTTGGACCTATTGCTGCACTTTTAAACCTTTATTCTTATGGTGCTTGTTCACCTTTTAAGAAAATAAAAGTATTGCTTTTCTACTATTACTTACCTGGAGTCCCGTGTTCCATTGGTCGCTTTACATCGGATAGGGGAAACCACTAGCCCCCTATGCTATATGGGGAGGCACCCTATGAATGCTTTTTCATCTTCATCATCTTGTGAGTGCATCCATTTAAGCGCACTATTCACTGTATTTACTGTATCACACTATTGTGTTTTTTCCTTTATATGTTCCCTCTATAGATTGTACAGCCGTATCCCATTTCTGTCTGGGGTTCTAAAGAATCTCTTCCTTCCTGAAGAAACCTGTGTCCATCTCTCTGTGCTTTGCTTCCGTCAGTTTCACCGGTATCACTAGGGGGCATACCAATAAAATCCCCTCCCCCATTAAAGCTGGAAAAATTGCGAAGCTCCTGGCTTTGATCTTCCACATCATGCTGTAATTGCGAAGCTCCTGGCTTTGATCTTCCACATCATGCTGTGACGTCAGCCAGCACTTAGGCGGTCAAATCACAGGCCTCTTATAGAGAAGCCATTGAGAGGGCATTTGCGCGCTGCAGGACAATGGGGGGGGGAGTAAAGAGGAGGAGGGAGGGATGATTTCTCCAACTTCTTGCTCTGTGGGAGGGAGTGCCCACAGGGAGGGAAGAGTTAGCTAGCAGAGCACCTGTAAGGGTAGATTTTTATGTTTGCTGTCAACATGCAGTGCGCACCAAAGACAGATGTAAAATAAGCACAGAATTGCCTCTGGCAGAATTCTAGACTGCCAATGTCGCATGTGGTGGGGGTGCAACTAGCTCCGTATCTGCAATGTTTCAAGCACTGAAACACTGCACATACATACCACTCAAGAAGTCATGTTACCGGGAAACTGACTGAGGCCAAGCACAGAGAGATGGACACAGGTTTCTTCAGAAAGGAAGAGATCTTTATTCGATTCACCGACCGGGACTCAGAGGGACTTATGTCACCAAAAATAGCAAAGATCTGAGTACTGAATACATAGAGTACATTCCTTATATAGCACTGTAGCTCCTCCCATAATTAGCTACGCCCACACATACCCTTAACCTAATCAATGAATAGAGTCTAAGCTCATCCATCCGGTCTAACCACGTGGCTCATCTGAAACAAAGGAGAGGG